CAAGTAATTGTCACTCATTTTGAAAACTATCCAGAGTCTGTGTTCTTATTATCATTTATGAGCAACATAAAATTCATTTCAGAACTTGTGGCTAAAAACTAATTTTGAGAAGTGATTCATAACCCTTCATCAGAAGTCTCCGACTTATTCTAAATATTGCTATTTTTCAAGTCCATATTGATGTTCTAAATTTCATTTTATAAGTGTGGATATAGATTGAAATCTTCTGTAATAAAACTTAGTATTTTATTACTTAAAGTATAGGTTAAATACAAAACCAGCATTGTATCTTATTTTCAAGAGTTCCAGTCTTCTTCTGAGGGGTAAAAATTATTACTAGATTTGTACATGTTTATCTTTCAAGAAAAAAAACAACATTTCTCCTCTTTCTGTGCCTATCTCCCCATCTCCTTCTGTCTTTCCCTACTCCCTTCTTTTCTTTATGGAAAAATGTGTGATGCTACACTGGCAACACAAATAATGACAGAGCAGTATTCCTGTCCACACCAGTATTTAAGGTTGCACGGTATTTCAAAGCATAGAGGAATGCTTACCAACTTTGTATTTAGCTTGCTCTTAGCAATGATCTTATGAAAATACCTGCTACACAGTTTACCCTTTGATATCAAAATTGTACATTTTTTCGTTTCTACCACATTTGTACATTTCTACTTTTAGAGAATACTTTTTGAAAGGTAATTGATTAAACATTAAATGCATCTTAAAGTTTGATAGACAATGAATGGTTCGTTAAAAGAAGACGCATATTATAAACACACAAAAATTACCCAAAACAAATAAAATTGCCTAATATATGAAGTAATGAAAATCTGATATTTCAGATATATATTTCGTCTATGCTTTGGAAAGCATTTTCTTAGATTGCAAATTATTGTCCATAGGTGAATACATAATCTCATTGATATTAATCCACTGTTTTTCCATTGTATTTTTTCAAATATGTGGGATACTATCTTTGTTGCAATTTCAACTGTGGCAGACTAGAAAAAAAATATTTTGTTTTTATTTATTCCACCAATTGTAGCAAAAAATGACTAAAAATGATGACTCAGTTTTCTCAATACAAGAAAGTGTTTATTTTTAAACTATTTTTAGAAGTCTTTAATTTACTTAGCTTTGACATCAAAGCCTTAGGAAAGATATATTTTAATTTAGAATAATTAAATGAGGGAATGGTAGAGAATTCTTATTCATTACTGTCACAAACATAACAGTAAATCTAGTTTGGGGGATGTCTGAACTGTAGCATTAGTCTGCCTACCTACAATTCACCATCTAATCTAACAAAAATAAAGGGAAGTCCTAATAGCTTTAGAGTTCAGTGATGTTGATCAATGGTCATAACATGTTACTGTTATTACGGAGGAATTTCCTCATTTATAATTCCTGTTAGGTTGCTTCAAAATGATCTATAATTCTTAACTAAGCCTTTTGACATGCTGAGGAAATAACCTAGTAGTAACACAAACAAAAATTTCTAAATAAGTTAATTTACTGTAAAATTATTACAGAGCATGCATAGCCCACTAAAAAGTGAATGTAATAATATAGGAGAATAAATTTAAAGTAAAGGAAAGTATGTGGTCTACTTCAAAGCACAAGTGGGTATTTTGATGTGAATTTAAATTTTAACGTCTTGCAACCAATTCATATATCTGTACGTGGTATGTCCCTCTGACAGGTGCTATTTCATGTCCTATCATGGTATTCTTATGCTCACAAACATTTTGTCAAGTGTCCTTAGCTTTTTACACCCAACTGAGATAAATAATGTTGAATTTAGGATTTTAAATCCTAATTCTGGGAATAGCTTTATGATCACTAGTTAAAGTTTTCATTATCCAGATGTTTCTAAATGGTCTTTAGTGTTCACGTAAGTATTGTGTGAAAGCATGCATGAAAATCATGCGACTGTCCGTTGATTAATACAGATCAAACAAATATGTTTGATCATGTGGATCGAAGTCTTGGTTCTAATTTCTTCTATGTGTGGTCCGTTTCTCTAGTTCCTAGGGAATAGTGAAGAGACAAAGCCAAGGATGTCTATGCATTGAAGATGAAACACTGCTCTGTTTTTGTGGTGGTGTCCCTGCTGCAGTGTATTCTAGTTTCTGTGTCCCAGAATTTCTCAGAATTCGCTTCCCAGTAGAGCAGTTTACAGGGACACCTAGTGGTGAAAGTGACAGAGCATCCCATGGCAATGCTGGGACATGAATTAGTGCTAGACACCTTTCTTTTTTTTTTTTTTTATTTGAACCATACAAGGAAATCTGTAATGTGGGTATAAATGTTTCATTTGACACTGTTAGTTGAGGAGGTTCAAAATGTGCTTGATACTTCTACGTTTAACAAAGTGTGATTTAAATAGAACACCATTAAGAACAAAATAATACAATACAGAGCATATAAACCCTTGTTCATACTGAGTGAAAATGTGGAGGTGTCACACACTAATACTATAAAACTGATATCCTGAGAAGTCTAATAACTAAGGCATTCTGGAACTTATCAGAACTTCTGTTGAGTTAGTAATCATTAAATATTAGGTTGCTGACAGGGCTCAGTATTTTCATTCTGTAGGTGGATACACCTGTAAACTTAAATATTCACAGTTTAAAAATATAAAGGTGATTTTTTCACCTTAAAAGAATTTTCATACATTGTTATCTTGGATTATAGGATAAATAACTTAATGATAATATAGTAACTATTGTTTTTAAAATAAATTTTGCTTGTAGCTGAGGCCAGTAGCTATGAAAAATATGCTAATTTCTCAGTTCTCAGATTTTCATTGTCTGACATCACAGACTATGTCAGTTCTTTCTCCCTTGTAGAGTTTTCAACTTACATGAAATACACAAAACTATTTTAAAGTGTTTATGGCTTAGGTAAAAATATATACTCAGCATATTTATTTAGATGAAATTTTGAAAGCATTGCACGTTTCGAGAGACCTAAATAATTCACTGCTTCTATATAAACCTCTGAAATTCAACACATATGGAGGCTGTGAAGAGCTGTTTGAGACACATCCCCATAAATACTGCCTCTGGAATCTATTACTAACAATCACATGTTTATTCAGAGGATGACCACAGATACTATCCCCTAAGTTAAACTTAGAGTAATCCATTTATGTTTCAAGCATAATTTCAGAATAGGGAGAGGAAAATACATTTATGTGGCAAAAGTGCCTACCCATCTATGAAAGCATGAAACTTGCTAGCAACCTGCCCTGGGTCACTAACTCTAAACAACTTCCCTATGCTTCTTGTGAAGACTCAGGGCCTAACATTTCCAAAACGCAAAACACATCTTATGAACACACAGACCCCTTTCAGGGGAGGAAGTTGTCTGGTTTCCTGGAAAAAGCGGCTCATACTTACATAGAGGTGATCAGGAGGAGTTCAGCAGGTGACGCTTCCAGAAACTCGCTTTCAACAGACACTGCCTCTACTTCAGTTGTTTCCAGCTCTCTAGTTGCCTTAGTGTATTCGCTTTCTCCCTGGAGAACCACTCCGACATACTTATAAAACGTGAGTCTTTAAAAAGATAAAGATAAAAATAACGCTCTTTCTCTAGCTAGGACGAGCCACTCCCTCCAGGGTCCTTTACTGGAGCCCCTGGAAGCAGCAGTATGGACACTCCTCTAAAGGGCAGAGGCATCTGGGCAAACGGCAACCGGTAGGCATCATCTGATCCCTGGCCGCCACCAAGTCTACCACTGTCAGGGTTCTTTCCAGTCCTCCCTTTCCAAGAAGACGATTGCACACTCCTACGCTCGAATTGCGCACATGGTCCAAGACTCCTCTGTCTCCACGAATGTGACATCGAAGGGGGCTCTGACTGCGCCTCCAGAGCCCGGGGCCGCCTTCGCCCTCGGCTGCCATCTACCGGCCACTGGGCGCCCGCTTCGCCCCGGGCCCATCATGTCTGCTGCAGCTTGGCTCGCACCAGCGGCGCGACAATAAACAAGTGCGGCGGACGGGGCCCTGCACCCCGCTACCCAGCAGATGTAGCCGCCTCCTCCGCTCCCAGGAGAGAAGACACGACTTTTTCTGAGTTTTTCTTTCTTTCTTTCTTTTTTTTTTTTAAAGACCTGCCAGGCTGCCAGGACATGCCACAGGCGTAGAACAACGCTGCTCCTGCCTCCTCGGACCCCTCAAAGGATGTCGGAGATAAAGAGTTGCGAATAATGAGGATCGTGCGCCGCATCTGGGGAGGGATAGCGAAAATCCGCTGCAAACACTAGGAACAGTGCAGCGGCCAAGAGGATGTGGGAGCCTTTCAAATACTAATTAGGGGCCGCGACTGCAGGTTAGCCTTGGGGACAACGGCATCCCGGCTGCAGTGGTCGTGGCGCGTGGGGGAGAGGAGCACTGCGAAGGAACCGCCGGCGGAGCAGCCGAGGGGCCAGTACCACCTTCTCTCGCCCCCTCACTACCATGTACAGTGTGCGCTGCAAGAAGAAGGCGGAAGATGCTCGCACAACCTCGAGCCCCTCTCCCTCCGGCTCGTCCCGGGGCGTGCGCCACTGACCAGAGGGGTAATGTGGTGAAGACGCCGACCCGGAGAGACTAGGGGGGAGGGGAGGGCGAGCCCGCGCGATCCCAGGCCGGAGGGTGCCAGGAGCCCGAGGCGGCTGGAGGGGGCGGCTGCCATCATTGGGTCGGAGAAAGTTGCCCCCTGTGCAGATGGGAACAGTAAGTACCCGCCGGTTCCTGGGGTAAGGAGAAGGCGCCCTGAGACCTGGGTTTCGCGCGTGGGAGCGATGGTGCGAGGGAGAGTGAGTGCGAGCGGGTGCGAGCGCTCGCCCAGGCTGACCAGGACGTTAGCTGGGCGGCCGAGCCAGGCATCCTGCTCCGAGTCCCCCGCCTTGGTCTCCCCACTTCCCCTCCCCACTGAGCCCTCCCCGCCCAGCCTGCTCAGGCTCCCAGCCCCTGCCGCGAGCTGCCTTTCCAGCGAGTCCCTGGCCGTCCCCTCCCCCACTCCCCCACCCCACTGCCCGCTCCGGCTACCGCGGTGAGCGCCAGGGAGAGCCCTTTGGGGAGCCCGGGAACCCGCGGTCGCCACCGCGGTGGCGACCCGGTGCTAGCGGCGTCCTGGTGCCGCTTTCCTCCAGAAGCTCAGCCTGCACTGCTAGCAGCTTCTGTGTCTGCCTAGGCTTCAAAAATCAGTGCACACCCCGAAGAGGTGTTTTTCTAGAAGGTAGCTATGATGAGTGGGCCCCTGAGATGGGAGACGGGGTAAGTCTGTGGTTTACTTTGCAAAAGCGGTTCCTGTGTGTGTCTGTGTGGTATGGCGAAGTGGCTTTCTTTGCTTCTCCCCCCTCCCCTTCTTCCTCCCTTTACCCTTCCTTTGCTTTGGGGCGGGGTGGGGGAGGGGGAGTCTCGGGTCCTGGAACTCCGGTTGCCTCTGCCTGAGCGGCGGTTCCAGCAGCTGTGCCGGGAGCCACGGATCCGGCCTGGGTTTGGGCTTTAACTGGAGCGGCTCCATGCTGCTTAATGCAGGGATGTGGCAGGCGGTGATCCAGGCTCTAAATTCTTTGCGAGCGAACAAATACAGTCCCCTGTCCCCGCCCTCTATCCTTTTTTTCTTTTTGCTTTAATAAACCAAAAACGTGTGGTGCACCCGCGAGTTTACATCGGTGGTGCTTTTCCCTGTCTGAATGTTAGCATTTCCAGCTCATTCAACTTTATTTTCTCAAATCTTCAGTCTCCTTTGATGGCTGGGGACGGCGGGGGAGGGGGGTGAATGGAGAAGAGCCTTGGAAAAGGCTGTTCGACCCCGACTAGCCAGAACTGAATTAAAGTTGTAAACGTTCGAATTTAATACTGCTTGGACACAATTTGCAATGGACTCTGAGATGGGGAAGGAGGTGAATGGGGGCGGGGAAGCACCGCGAGGGAGGGGGAGGGGATCCAACCCAGCTGAATGGATGTGCACATTTGATCCAACGGAGAACCCAAATTTCAAGGTAAACGTTATGATTTCGTATTAGGATGTTTAAAACCAAAGCCGTCTACTGTGCTGAGGAGAGGTGTGATACACTATTGAGGTTTCTGTACTGTGGTTCCGATCTTTCTCGATACGTCTGGGTGGCCAAATGTCAATGATTCGTAGACACACTTGCACATGTGCATGCGAATGCAGACACTCTGAACCAGGAGGGTTGGTGCGACTTGGTGATCATGTGCAAGGTTTCCAAGCTGTGAATCTGTGCTTTAGAAACGTCCTGACTTTAGTTCTGGTTTGAGATTTTCATCAGGTTTTTTTTTTTTGGTGGAGGCAGAAACAAGGTTGATCAGAGAAAAGGCGTAGGTTCCCAGAACCCCACAATTTTATCAACACTCCCCCTAAACAACCCCATGCTTTACATTAAGACCACTTGTGTCCATTCTCTGAGTGTTGCTGTCAACCCAAAGTAGTAAGTCAAAAGCCTTCCAGTGACTGAAAGAGAACAGAAGGGGGAGGGGGATCAAAGTAGTTTCACAGGGAGATTAAATTCAGATGTTAAGACACTGGCCTGTGACATTTGCCTCTTTTTTGTCTTTTAACCATCGCAGCGTCCCTTTATACCAGGGAGGGAAATAAGGGAGGGGACCATTGACATTTAAACGTAAAAGCAACTTCAAAGATGGAGATGTTGGCAAGGCTGTAGTTCGGTCCAAATCTTATGAATTCAGAAAGGCTGCTTTTGCATACCGTGGCAAACTGACTTGGAGCCCAGTGTAATAGAGCATTTGCCTGTGATCGGTGGTATACTTTCAGCCGCTTCGGAGTAAGCTGTAGAAATGCCCTCTTTAGACTTACAGCATTCAGAAGTGCTCCGAGATTGCAGATGCCTTTGCTGAGTTCTCTATAAGCCATCGTGCGGAACTATTACAGTGGTTAAAGATGCGGTTTTGTAGCCTCGCTGGCATGATCAATGAGGAGAAGTGGTCTCAGGGTGCTCCAGTGGAAGCGCTGCTGAGTGACCTGGTGCATACAATCAGGGTTCTGATATGCTTAATAGCTGTGGGGAAGTCCACCATCAAAGCGAACTCGCTCCCTCCCCCCTCAACACACACACACACACACACACACACACACACACACACACACACACCCCTCTACATTCTCAGTGCTCACGAGGACAATTGGTGACTTAAAAGCTTCTGTTGGCTGCTCGTAATGCATGATCTTGCATCCTTTCTGCCTGTGAAAAGTATTCTTTACGTTTCCACCCTGATGTTTCTCGTGGTGATTTAAATAGCTCAAAGTATTGTGACCCCACGCATATCTGTAAAAATGGGAGACTCTGATAAAGTTAACCATAGAAGATTCTGAAAGAAAGCAAGGAGGGGGCTGAATATAGGTGAAGTGGAGAACGCTGTTGAAAAACTTATACTTAAATTAGAGCGATGAGACTTTTCTGACAGCCATTTTATGCATATTTATGGATTAGTTTGATGAGGGAGGGCAGAGAACACTAACTCAGGAATTCATCTGCCTTCATCTTCTAAAGAGCAGAAAATTGGTGGCATGCTCATTGGGAAATACCATGAGACTTCAAATCAAAATGAACAGCCAACTTTGGTAAAGTCTGAAAGATATCAATGTACCCCCTGGGCAAGGGAGGAGGTGCTTTCTATGTGTGTATTTCCCCTCCTGGATTTCAGAGAAAAAGTATCAAGAAAAAAGGACTTTCTGATTAACCCCCTTAACTTTTGTGTGTGTGATACTGTTATGTCCTTGTTTCCTCTCTCCCTTGCAGGAGGTAAAATGCACGTTTGCTGCCCCCCAGTAACTTTGGAACAGGACCTTCACAGAAAAATGCATAGCTGGATGCTGCAGACTCTAGCGTTTGCTGTAACATCTCTCGTCCTTTCCTGTGCAGAAACCATCGATTATTATGGGGAAATCTGTGACAATGCATGTCCTTGTGAGGAAAAGGACGGCATCTTAACCGTGAGCTGTGAAAACCGGGGGATCATCAGTCTCTCTGAAATTAGCCCTCCCCGTTTCCCAATTTATCACCTCTTGTTGTCTGGGAACCTTCTGAACCGTCTGTATCCCAATGAGTTTGTCAATTACACTGGGGCTTCAATTTTACATCTGGGAAGCAATGTTATCCAAGACATTGAGACTGGGGCTTTCAATGGGCTGCGGGGTTTGAGGCGACTACACCTAAACAATAATAAACTGGAACTCCTTCGAGATGACACCTTCCTTGGCTTGGAGAACTTAGAATACCTGCAGGTCGACTACAATTACATCAGCGTCATTGAACCCAATGCTTTCGGGAAACTGCATATGTTGCAGGTGCTTATCCTCAATGACAATCTCTTGTCAGGTTTACCTAACAATCTTTTCCGTTTTGTGCCCTTAACGCACTTGGACCTGCGGGGGAACAGGCTGAAACTTCTGCCCTATATGGGGCTGTTGCAACACATGGATAAAGTTGTGGAATTGCAGCTGGAGGAAAACCCCTGGAATTGCTCCTGTGAGCTCATTTCTCTCAAGGATTGGTTGGACAGCATCTCCTACTCAGCCCTTGTGGGTGATGTGGTCTGTGAGACCCCCTTCCGTTTACACGGCAGGGACTTGGATGAGGTATCCAAGCAGGAACTTTGTCCAAGGAAACTTATTTCTGACTATGAAATGAGGCCACAGACTCCTTTAAGCACCACGGGGTATTTGCATACTACCCCAGCCTCTGTGAATTCTGTGGCCACTTCTTCCTCTGCTGTTTACAAGCCCCCCTTGAAGCCTCCTAAGGGGACGCGCCAGCCCAACAAGCCTAGAGTGCGCCCCACTTCTAGGCAGCCCTCTAAAGACTTGGGTTACAGTAACTATGGCCCCAGCATAGCCTACCAGACCAAATCCCCGGTGCCTTTGGAGTGTCCCACCGCCTGCACTTGCAACCTTCAGATCTCTGATCTGGGCCTCAATGTCAACTGCCAAGAGCGCAAGATTGAGAGCATCGCGGAGCTGCAGCCCAAGCCCTACAATCCCAAGAAAATGTACCTAACAGAGAACTACATCACTGTTGTGCGCAGGACAGACTTCCTGGAAGCCACGGGGCTGGATCTGCTGCACCTGGGTAACAACCGCATCTCCATGATCCAGGACCGGGCCTTTGGGGACCTCAGCAACCTGAGACGTCTCTATCTGAATGGCAACAGGATCGAGAGGCTGAGCCCAGAGTTATTCTATGGCCTGCAGAGCTTGCAGTATCTCTTCCTCCAGTACAATCTCATTCGCGAAATCCAGTCCGGGACTTTTGATCCAGTCCCCAACCTCCAGTTACTATTCTTGAATAACAACCAACTGCAGACCATGCCTTCAGGTGTCTTCTCTGGCCTGACTCTTCTCAGGCTAAACCTGAGGAGCAACAGCTTCGCCTCCTTGCCAGTTAGTGGAGTTCTGGATCAGCTGACATCCCTCATCCAAATCGATCTACACGACAACCCTTGGGATTGTACCTGCGATGTGGTGGGCATGAAGCTGTGGATCGAGCAGCTCAAAGTGGGAGTGTTAGTGGACGAAGTGGTCTGTAAGGCGCCCAAGAAATTTGCCGAGACTTACATGCGCTCCATCAAGTCAGAACTGCTGTGTCCAGACTATTCTGATGTGGTGGTTTTCACGCCCACGCCCTCTTCCATCCAGATACCATCCCGGACCAATGCAGCCACACCAGCTGTGAGGCTGAACAGCACTGGCTCCCCTGCGGGCTTAGGTGCTGGAGCCGGGGCTTCGTCAGTGCCCTTATCGGTGCTGATACTCAGCCTGCTGCTTGTTTTCATCATGTCCGTCTTCGTGGCTGCAGGCCTCTTCGTGCTGGTCATGAAACGCAGGAAGAAGAACCAGAACGACCACACCAGCACCAACAACTCCGACGTGAGCTCCTTTAACATGCAGTACAGCGTGTATGGGGGTGGAGGCGGCAGCGGGGGTGGCCACCCGCACGCGCACGTGCACCACCGCGGACCGGCTTTGCCCAAGGTGAAGACTCCCGCTGGCCACGTGTATGAATACATCCCTCACCCACTGGGCCACATGTGCAAAAATCCCATCTACAGGTCTCGAGAAGGCAACTCCGTGGAGGATTACAAAGACCTGCACGAGCTCAAGGTCACCTACAGCAGCAACCACCACCTGCAGCAGCAGCAGCAGCCACCGCCGCCGCAGCAGCCCCAGCAGCAGCCCCCTCCGCAGCTGCAGCTGCAGCCCGGGGAGGAGGAGAGGCGGGAAAGCCACCACTTGCGGAGCCCCGCCTACAGCGTCAGCACCATCGAGCCCCGAGAGGACCTTCTGTCGCCCGTGCAGGACGCTGATCGCTTTTACAGGGGCATTTTAGAGCCAGACAAACACTGCTCCACTAGCCCTGCCGGCAGCAGCCTCCCGGAATACCCCAAATTCCCATGCAGCTCGGCTGCTTACACTTTCTCCCCAAACTATGACCTGCGACGCCCCCATCAGTATTTGCACCCGGGGGCAGGGGACAGCAGGCTGCGGGAACCGGTGCTCTACAGCCCTCCCGGTGCTGTCTTTGTAGAACCGAACCGGAATGAGTATCTGGAGTTAAAAGCAAAACTAAATGTTGAGCCGGACTACCTCGAAGTGCTGGAAAAACAGACCACATTCAGTCAGTTCTAAAAACAAAGAAACTCCGTTGGAGCTTTTACGTTTGAAACAAACAAGCAAGCAGACACACTTGGTGAACACATTTGATTAATTGTGTCGTTTCAACATTTAGGGTGAAGTGCCTTGGCACGGGATTCTCAGCTTCGGTGGAAGCTAACTGAAAGGGTGTGCAATTTACTTTTAATTTTACACGCGGGAAACATTTATGTAAACTAGGCACATCACTTTCTCTTGTCTGTGGGGGAAGAGAGAAGGGCTTTTGGGAGGGTGATTTGCATCGAGGGTGACCTTCAACAGGTTGGGGTCCCTTTTTGCAGTGCTCTGAAGTGCTAAGAAGGGTTGGGGGTGGAAGCAGCTTCGATTCTACTCACCCTTTTCGCTCCTCTTCTCATGTCCTTCTTGTCCTTAGAGCCTTGGCATTGGTTGAGAGTTTAGCACACCCCAACTTTAATTGGAAGTTTGTTCTCTCTTGCTTCCCTCCCTCCCTTCCCCCTCCCACCTTCTGTCCTAATCTTTTCCTTTGTTTTTAAAGAATGTGTTTGTATGCATTCTGGACATTTGAATTAAAAAAAAAGTCTTGTGATCCAGAAAGACTCACTATAGATGTGGACAAATCATTAAAATTACAGAGCTATATGATCCATAATTGATTAGTCAAAATAACTTATTGATGAAATATACAAATATTTTATTGTAGCACCTATTTTTATATGCACATTTAGCATTCCTCTTTCCTTCACTGTTTAGCCTATGATTTTCTCCGAGGTGTTGTTGCACTGTACTACGAGCTGCATTTCCAAAACCAGAGTAATATCAGAAAGGCCTAGTAAATATTTAAAGACATGGAGCACTAAATGGCAAAAGTCTTTAAAAAAAAATCTATGAAACCCACCCAATGGGACTCACGATTCAAAAAATAGTAAACTAAAAAGTGAAGTTGTTTGTAACCCGCTGTATAAGGGAAAAGATGGAGCAATTAATTGGGTAGTTCGAGTGAGAAAAGTGTGGAAGTTTTGGATATATCAGAGAAGGCTGAAAATTATTTTTATTAGTGAACCAAAATGATGTATTGATTTGACTACTATTGTAGCCGATTTTTGATTGTGTAACCAAACCCAGTTGCATTTGTACAGTTCCGCGTGCCCTTGCACCTCAGAAGACCAAATGATGGGCTGTACAAGTCAGTCCAATGTCTTTCTCCCTCTGGGCAGATGCTGACCACACACAGGATCTCTGTAAGATGGAACTACTATTGTTACAGTCTCATATGTATCCCAGCACATGTAATTTTTTAAATAGTTTCTGAATAAACACTTGATAACTATGTCAACTTTGAGGGATTTAAGTAATGATTCCGGGTGATGGCGGGACCTCCTTATTAAGAATTTAGGAACTAATAGCTCTTTTCTTCCTAGGAACACTAAGTTTCCTTGATTATAAAAATTTCAATATATGTCCATTAATACGTACACTTACATAAAATTCATTCCTTCGTTGATTCAGAGAAGTATGTTTTTTTCTGAATGTGTCAGTTATGTTTATTAATGGTATTTTAATTGTATATTTCCTCACTGGAGTGTAATTCTAGTATACGGATCATGGTAAGTAATACGTTATATTTTCATTCCTCTTGTAGAGTTTTATATTTTGTCATATTCATGTTATTTTATACAGTCTGGGTCCTTCCATATTTCAATTTGTATGAAATTGTGTGTCAATTCTGACATAAACCTTATCTAAAGTTGACAGATGCCATGAATGTTTGAGATGTTTGTGGATATTCGCCGTCCACCTCCGATTAAGGCTTGCCAGTGAATTTAGAAGAAAGAACATTTAATGGGAGAAAGTATTTGACTCTGTTTGAAACTTAAAAAACCAAGCACTTCATTGCTGTTACTGTCCCTCTGTCCTGTCTCATCCAGAATGTGGGCAATATCAAGGACTGTTAGAAAACTTCCTATTTAAGGAACAATTGCCATGGCATTCTGCCACAAAGAGGCAGCAGTCACCCGTGAGTAAACTGACAGAGACTACGTGAACTCAGATTGAAATGGTAGACCCGGTCTTCCTGAGAGAGGTAGGAAGTGAGAGAGTCAGAATGCCACTTTGGCCAAGAGCAGAAAGCCGTTCGCTCTCCAGGTTTGCTCTGCCAAGTATGTTTCTCCCCAAAGGAAGAAAAGAATAAGCTTAGGAGTGCCACATCTTAACATCAAAATAAAACCTATCTCAGATTACTGTCTGCCTCCTCTTTCTCAGATCCAAGGACTGGAAATCAACAAAAAGCAGCATTTTTTCACATGGGCATTGTTGCTAATCTTTCTTTACAGACTGTGTTTGCTGTGTGTTTCTTTGAGAATGCTCCTATTACTTTCCCAGAATTTTTGCATTCAAATATGATAGTGTTTTATAAACTATAAGACACTGACGCCATAAAAAATTTTCAGTGTAATGAAACTTTATACCTTAAAGTGATAATCACTCAACTTCAAGGCACATTGCTGAACAATATTCGTAATTTCCAAAGAAAATTCATGGCTTATTTTAATTATTTTTTTTCCAAATCAGCACTAATTTGTGTGATCTCATCTGATAATACCCTTTGTTGTACTCTTTCTATACTACAACCTGAAGTTTTTAAGAATACAATTTTTTAATTGGGAAAGTTGGCAATTATATGGATTATTAAAGCTACTTTAAAATATTTTACAGTCTCCTAATAAAGACATTAAAGTAAATTAATCTTGATTTAGATAAGTTTGAAAACATTGTTTCAAAATCATTTTTGCATAGAATGCCTAAATCTTTCTCTTTATACATATTTCCTAAGAATGCATTTTTATGCACAATACAAGGTTACATGTACATTTCTTATTTTGTTTTTGATGTATTATCTTCATCTTAGTAAGCTATCAGACCAGGTATGCAGTGGTATGTGATTTGTTGTGGAGCTCAGCAGATTCTACCCATGAAATTTTTGGAGACCAGTGTGTTATGTTTCTGTCACTGAGGAAAGTTTGGATGCAAGCTAGGGCTACTCTTTGTGATTATTTTTTTAAAATATAATACATAATCTAATGTAAATATACATTCTGGTAGATATAAATGTTATTTTTATTTCTCTCTGATGATGTAAAAACTATAATTTTGGATATGTCTAGTTCACAATTTACATACTGATAGGAAAGTCACACATTGCATTATTTATAAATATTTTCATTTAAACATTAGCATCAGTCTCATAGACAGAACACAATTTTACACATGTACAGTGGGCCGTTTTACCTGTCCTCCATATGTTGTCATTCCTGTCCTCCTCTACTTTTCCTTGACCTCACACAGGAAAAGATAAATGAGGAGGTATGAGAAATGTACACACATGTGCAAAGAATGTTCTATTATTTTCACCAAGAATGCACAAATGATTGTATTTTTGCTAAGCAACTGAAATTATTGATATTATTTTTTCATCAATCTGTTATTTAATTCTCCTTACATTTCCTTCTTCATTCTCCTCTTTTTGCTTTATTTTTCAGTAGAGAACAGGAATGCATGAAAATAGTTTGGTTTCAAGGGTGAAAAATGAACCATTCAATCTCCAGAGGTCAGTGTGTTTTTCTCCAAATCACAAGGCTGCAAATTACTGAAAATAAAATGGAACAGAAGTAGGCTTTGAATTCAGCTTGAAGCACGTTCTTGTACTTTTTAGGAAAGTCCAAGTTAAGTTAAGTTCAAGTTAAGGCTGATGTGAAAAAATTGTTTGATGAAACTATTTTTTAAAAAATGAATTCTAAATAGTGAAATCAGGTAGGAATAGTGAAAGAACACCTTTAAATACTGGCATATTTAATGACTTGACTTCCAAAGTGAAAAATACTATAAATGTGTTAACTAAACTGTTAATTCAATTAACTGTTTAACTTTACTTCGAGAAAGGCTAAGAGGTCTCCAGCATTCTGCAAGTGCAAGTGCATGACAGTGACACTAAAGTGTCTGGGTAGATAGTTATGTGCTTAAAACAATTTAATATGCATATCCAATATGTTATATTTATTTCCATGCTCTTTAATACATTCATGTTACCATTACATAAATCATTTCTAAGGCTTTCCTGATAGGATTATCCATATGTATGTCCACGAGTGTATGTCATCAGGTATATCATAAAACAGCAAGTGAGATATGGGTCAATTCAATTTTCATAAGCTGTTTCTTTGGAATTTCAAATTAAACTTTGATGTTTTATGTTTTTAAAATGTTAGGTTGGAAAGAAAAGAATTTGATGTAGTGTGTATGTGTGAAACAACTTACTAATGATTTTTTTCTTCTCTTGTTTTTATCAGACTATTTGGTTCAAAAGTCACAGATCAAATATATCTAATGGTAACTATATTAAAATTATTATATGAGTACTTTTATATACATTCCTAAGAAGAGCAACATTTAACTTATGAATTTGGAGTGATGTAAGTCATTTCTTATGAAAAGCTGTTGAAGATCAAATAGAGATATTTACCAGAGAATTGATGTGGTACAAATGTTAAGCAAATTGACTTTCACCAATTTTGCAGGTCACAACATTAAAACACTACAAAAATTTGCATATTGCAAAATATATCGGGTATAGTTTTATTAAATATTAGAATGCCACTTACTATATGGAGTATTATCGTGGAAGCATATGTTAAATCAAAAATTATCTAATGATTTTAGGTGGGTAACAGTTGGTAAACATAAAGAAATATAGTATATTTTTAGTGTAAAGTATAAATGTACCTACTTAAAATTTAGGTGTGTTTATAAATATGAAAGTTTGGAACCAGTACATGATGGATATTTTTAATTTAAAATGTTCTTAGATGAAACTATGGCCTGCTGAGAGCTCACTAAACTTAGTATGCTTTGAAAAAAAGGTGTTTGCATTTTTTTCACTGTAAGAAATCATTTTAACATATCAACTTATTTCAGTTCAACTTAGATCTTACTGTAATAATTCAATATTAAATCACTTTTATGACCAAGCATTGTTTTATAAATATTAGTGGTTCAGAAAATGAATATTTTTAACTTTTGTTTATAAATCATTTTCACTATTAATGACAATTTCTAAATTTCCCATGTTATATACTTTTAAAGACTATTTTGTATAGTTCATTGAAAGGTTAATATTGGACATTGATATCACACTTGCTTTATTTTTGCAGTGTGGTACCTGTATATTTAAATAAATGTAATAGATAATATTAATCTTAACATAATTGTTTAGCAAGGTTGTTTGTCAGACACTATATTGCTTTGATCAGCAAACTCCCTAGATATGAGCAGTCATCCTGTTACATTGTACCCTTGACCTGTTTCTCTTATTTGTCCTCTGCAACCAAGATTAGATAGTCATACTGAGACAGTGTAAACTCTGTGAGACTGTCATGTTGAGACATTATCAGCTCTGGAAGACATTCATATTAAGATAGTGTCATCTCTAGAAGACAGTCACACTGAGAGTGTCAGCTCTGGAAGACATTCTTACTGAAACCATGTCATCTCTGGAGGACTGTCATACTTAGACACTGTAGCTCTGGAGGACAGTCTTCCTGAGACAGTGTAGCTCCAGAGGACAGTCTTACGGAGACAGGGTCAGCTTTGAAGGACAGTCATACTGAGATAGTGTAGCTCTGGAGGACAGTCTTACTGAGA